CAATATCAACTGCTATTTTCGTGACTTCATTCTGTGCATTTGTCAAGATCTTCATCTTTTTGATGTTCAAAAGGAGGCCAAAAAAGATTTTTAACCCAACTTACCAGGAAAATTGCACCTAAACCTGTATATAAGAAGTAGATACATTCTGAAGAAATGTGTACATTAAAAAAGCCAAAGCCTTCGCCTTTTTTTAATGTGCCCAAAGCAAAGTTTAGTTCTGTAATTTCAAAGATTCACCCAAAGGCATTGTATGCAATGGGATAAATGGGTACATTTGCAGAAGTGTATGAAAAAGTGCTTACATTTGTACAAAATAAGCACCAAAACAGAACTTGTAAAAGAAAAAATCCGGAATGAGAATGCTTATAAAGATTCATGTGCATTAAAAAAAAATTAATGAAGTTCTGGGAGATAACTGACTTGTTAGGAAAAATGAGAACCTAAGCAAAACTGAACTTGCAACTCAGATATATGGCTGAGTCCCATAACATCTAGCTCATGCAGGAAGGACCAGGGAAGCACTAAACAGGGCTGTCAGGGCTGCCTTTGGACACACTCCATACATTTCATGCATGGAGGAGGTATAGAGCATTCCTGAAATGATTTCTTAATTCAGTAGAAATCAAAACTGATTTGTTTTTCAGATCTTGCCTTTAAAAAAAAGGACTCATAACTATTAGCTTCCAACAAAAATGAAGGAAAATTATCAAAGTCTCATAACGTATGATGCTCTGAATGGTTTGTCCTCAGACTCTCATCATCTATCACCGTTAGTTATGGCAGTTAGGAGTGATAGAAATTTCACCTGCATTTTTCTCAGAGAACTGACTCTGCAAGTAAGACACTCCATGCTCATTATCGGGACTTTGTTCAAACAACTGATAAAGTAAGCAGTGTCTCAAAGCATGTGCACAAGTATAGTATGCTGGGCTTTATAACCACTAAATAATCACACTGTCTTCAAAACATGTGGAACCATGGAAAGGACTTCTAAGCTATGATTTCTAACCAAGCCCATTTATAAGTTTCCAAAGTTAGAATCATGATATCTCATGGAGATATGGAGAATCCTAATATATCACGGAGAATCTTGTTATCTCATGGAGATACCGCTAGTATTTCACGTTAGTACTTTAATATGCAATACTTTTGTAGTTGTAATTAATCAAAGAACAAGACTTAAACTGAGGAGTAAACTTGTGATATGTATTACTATTCTAAGATTCAAAGCTTTGCATGTATAGAAAAATGAAATTATACTTGATTCAGGATAGCAAACTTGAAATTACCACCTGTGATCCTGGAAACAAGATAATGTGGTAGTAGCATAACTGGTGACATACACTTTGAAGTAAGGGAGCAGAAAATAACTCTGTTTAATTGCTGGTTAGTATCATATAATGATAAAATGCATCTCAATTTCATTAGAAGTTAGAGAACTTCAATTAATCATAAAGTTATATTATGCACCGTGGCATTGAGACATATCCATGAAAGTATAACCTATAATTAATTCTTTAGTTTCATAAAGCCTTAATTTGAGTTAAGAGGCAGAAGCCTGTCTGTGATAAAGGTTACCCACTTGTATTTAAGGACAAAATTTCCACTTCCTAATTTTACATTGTACAGCATCATTATACTATAAGATATTGAGCAAAACCTTCTATTAAAGATCATGTTTGATGGAGACATATGCCACAATGCCTCTTCTGCAAATTTCCTTTGTAATTGTTGAGTAGGGTACAGTAATTAAATTCTGAACTTAGGATTCTGAATTTTTAATATGTTTATTAAGAGAAAAGGCTAGAGGATTGCAGGGAAGTATTATCTATTTCCTTTTAATGCCAAAAGTATCTAGGTGCTGTTCCAATTCTGTAAAATCCATGTAGAGATTAAAATTATATTTAATATAAAGTATACCACAGGACCACTTTTTGGTTCTAGTGCCTGATTAAGAAAGAAAGACAGACAGACCAAGCGACTGACCGACCGACCACTTCAGTGTATACCCTAGGCCAACGTGTCTCTTCCTTGCGGGGAGCATATGTTTATCTACCATTAAAATTACACACTTGCTTGAGACCATGCTGCAGTCTACATCTTTCTTTCTTAGTCCAGGAGCATCATTTTGTAGCTTGGAGACCATAATGCATCCAGGTGCTCCCATCTGGTGTCAGCTCCATACTTTGAGATGAAACCCAGGATGAGGGCTTCATATACGTGTAAGGCACTGCCTCATGGTTATATCATAAGATTATAGGCCTATCTGTATGGCATTTTACCTCACGAGAGTTTATTTGGGAAGATAACAGTCCTCTTTAAGTAGGAGCTCCTTAGCTAAGGAGAACCCATGTTGCAATATGTGCATGCTCTCCAGGTTTAAGCATGCTTCAGGATGGAGAAGTGCAGACAGGAGTGAAGGAGGGAGCCACTGACACATTACAGGGCTGGTTTCTAATATTTTTCTGAAGCAAGACATCCAGACTGGAGAACTAATAATTAAATCCAGTGGTAAGTCCTCCCTGGCTGCTTCATCCATATTCTACGAGTTACCAATACATTAAATATAGAGTGCAGCAACACTTGAATGCGTTTGCTGAAAAGGATACAAACAATTACATTGAGAAAAGCTGCCTTAATCAATTGTCAGTGAGCAATACATGATTATATTGTATTACTGGTGCTGGTGACACAAGATCAGTGATGTTTCCAATCAGTATGGAGATTTAATCCATAATGCATAACAAAAGTGATATATCTTATGAAGTCTTCAGCACTATAGTTCTATATATGTTTTTTCCAGAAACTCACTGTAATTAATTCTGTAATTAATTTCATAATACCAATATATTATTATGGTCTGCATTGATAATGACTATGTACAAAATAGCAAAGGCCTAGAAATTTACTTCCAAGTAAATAAGCGTAGTGGATAAATGTTGCACTCACAAATGGATGGCTGAAAACGTCAATGACAAAAGAGGATATTATACCTGATGAAATGTCTTCTTTTAGACAACTATAAATGGTTTTCTAAGAGTAATCCAATCTGACCCTGTAAAATCCTGGAGCATTAACTGTCAGAGCTGGGTTTTGACATCACTGCAAAATATCTCAAAAATTATATATTTATGCAAAATATTTGCAGGGTGTTAGCTCAAAGTGGCTAATCAAAGTTGAGACACATACAAAAGCACTATTTAAATAAAGCCCCAAAACACAATTTAAAAAAGCATAAACTCCTAGGAAAAGCTCATCAAAACAGACTTCCTTCCTACATCAGACAGTGCATTCTGAAGCCTCCTCCAGTGAAGGCAGGTAGCCACTTGTGTGTTGTCAAAAAGTGGAAATGAAGCACAAATGATGACATAGATTTGCATACAATCACCATCGGCCTCATTCATTTAGCATGTCATGCTAGCAAGAAGATTCATGGAACTGGTGACCTGAGTACTTTCTCAGTTTAATACTTAGGTGCTATTCATGGTCAATTTGAAGGTCCCTGCTTGTTAATAATTCTTTTTCTTTAAATGAGACACAGGCCGGACAACCCTCCATTGTATGTTTTAAAGGCTCTGCTTCTAATTGCTACCATCTTAATCTGATGGAGGGTCAGATTTACTTTTCCCTGTGGATATGAATGGGAAAAATACTTATCAGGGGAGATTAAGCGGTCACTTGGAACACCATTGGAACAATGTCCTTAATGATCCAAACCCCTACCCTTCTACCTGAAGCCTATCCCCCACTGCTCCACATACACACCTCAAAAGGTTTTCTGCTAGGGGATGGTGCTTGGAAACTCAGTCATTCCCTCTGGAAGGAGTACAAGAGGAAGTATGGTACAGATTAGGATGTCCCAGAGGTTAAATTAGGCCTGTAGTTGGGGATTCTACCCTTGATTTGCAGGATGAGTTATTTTGTTGTGATGTTCATTTAACTGTGAAAATCATGGAATACTGCTCTCAGTGTTTCCTATAGGAAACTGATCTGTTTTTCCCCAATTTGCAATTAAAACTGTCAGCCCTCAGCAATATTTCCTATAGAAACATTAGCATAACGAACAGTCATTTCCTGCCATTGTAAACTAGATGAGGCACCTGTAAGTGATACAAGCTGACTTGTTCTGCATTTGGACACCCACTGCAAGAAGTACGCTAAGAGTATTTTCTCTGCACAAATGTCCAAGATGTAGAAATAGAGCCATATTTAATATGCAATTAATAACTATAGAGCCAAGGCACAAAGAACTTTCTCCAAAATATGAACCTTTTCCTAATGTTATGGCTAGCCACTAACAGCCTTGGGAAACAAAACATGAGGCATGATACCTCAACGAGCCAAATCGGATAGAACATATGAGTCATCCATTTCTGTGAACATTCTTATTGCTGTTCCAGTAGAACCTGGAGTGGACAGATCTTCATATCTTATTCTTCCAAGCACTTATAAAGAAGTTGGATGGGGTTGTGGAATGAATCCTAAGTACCACAGCTAGAACACTTATTATCAGGGAGTTCTTTCAAAAGCTGGAAGCTACCTCCAAACATTTGTTCCTTCTCTAGCTTGAAGAAAATTCAAATGCTAAAGCTGCCAACACTGCCACTGAGTGTACTTTCACATGAGTGCATTGTTGTTATTTGTGCCTTTGAGAAAAAGAAAATACTGCATGTGATGAGAGAAAACCAGCCCTTTGTCCTGTCCAGTGCCCACAAAAATCCAGTCTCTGCTGTTCATCAGTTTAGTTCTGGAATCATCTGTGCAGTCTGAGAGTCAAAACCATGAGGTGTGTGTGTGCGTGTGTCCAAAGTGCAGTCAGGTGGGAGTTGGCAAAGAATGTCCGGGAAATGAGCCAATACATCTAGATGCCGATTAATCTTCAGGGAAAAACAAGGAGCGTGGTTATCAGAGTCTGTTGTTTGCCATGAGAGCAGGCTTGGTCTGATCTAATTTTATAGCAGCTGGGAAACAGCACAGCAGACTAATTAAGTCAGTGCGCTTTTTTCATAGACGACATCCTCTGGCGAAACTGTGCACTCCTCCTTCTTTCCAAAGGGCGAATTCCCTCAGCCTCTGCCTCTTGCTCCTGCGTAACCCCAGGGACTGTCCCAGAAGGACCTGGCTGCTCTTCCAAACGAACGCGGTCATCCACAACCTCTAGCTTTCCTCATCTGAGGAATTCTTGTCCAGGTAGGTCATGAAGCTCAAGTAGCCTTCATCTGTTTTTGAAGTCTCCTTGCTGTGGACCATGTGTGAGTCATCCATTAATGGATACAGAAATGGGTACACATGTACCTTGTTTGCACATAGATGTTCTAATGTTTTTGCCTTTCTCATAGTGACCCTCATATGCTACATTTTTAATGGACCTGGCTCATGCAACATGGTGCGACTTGTTATGAGTTAATCTGGGGTTATGCAAGAATTGTTTAACCCTGACATAACCCACATTCACTGGGTTCACATGACATCACAACCCCTGAGTAGGGAGTTGGATATGCCAACTGGCTGCACAATACACACTCCCTGTATTGCTGCAGCCTCACCATGAGTTAAATATATGGTAGGCTGTATTGCCATTTAAACTAGTCCACTGCATCTGAACAGATTTATTTTTGCTTCCTAGTTTCGTGAAATTAGCTGGAATCCATAAATAACAAGTCAGCAAAGATCGACTATTTGTTTAACTTCATAAATGTGAAGGGCTTCCATTTATAAGCCATGTGAGGATTAGGGTTAGACATTATACCCATAATGGGACTTTTTCCCAGAAAAATGTTGTGCCCAGCAGGTGAGCTGGAGATTGCCATAATGTGTTCAGGAATGGGCAGATAAAAGACCAGATACTTGCCTTGTTATGCAAAATTCGGCAAAACTATAACTAAAATAGTGAGGTGCTTTGTTCCATATCATGGTCTGTGTCATTTCTTCTCTTTCTGCCTTGCTCCATTTCCTACTGAGAGCATAAGTCTAAACTCCAGATTAAAAGGGTGTAAGTGCATATGCCATATACATCAGCATGTAAGATGACCCTTGAAACCAACAATAGCAAAGCAAAAATTGGGGGTCATCTTATATCCCAACATACAACAACACCAGAAAAGCAGCCCAAATATTGACCTCATCTTATACCCGTGTTGCCTTATACACCAATACGGTATTTTGTTAAGCTATTGGTACAAAAATCTACATTGACCTAAAGTGAAAAAACAAATAAAAGTATTAAGCTATTTACTGGAATGATCTATAATAATATCTAGTAGAGAATGTTGCATTCCTGGATATTTGAATCCCCCATGAATATAGACAGATCACCCCTTAGCACTTCTTCCTAGGGCAGGGGCAGGCCATTTTCAGTATTATAAAACCAGGGATGAGTTACTTTGCGAGTATTAATTATTTTGAGATATTGAACAGAATCAGAGACATTTATAGCATATTTGAAGGCCCTACTGTGGGTGCAGCAACAGGCAAATCCAATCCTGAAACCATTCAGTTACCTTCACATGGCCCACAACACACTGACAGTGGAGCCAGGCCACCCCTTTTTATATTTATATGAGAAAAATAATTTCAACAGTGTAAGAATATTCTCACAAGTGAGATCAAATCCACAGCAATCTCCATTCCCACATGCTGGTTAAGTGCCCTTCTGAAGAACTGTAGAACACAGAAATAAATGGCATTTTTTCTGGTATCTGTGCCATAATCTAAATGGATGCATCCCCTTACTTCTACAACTTGTCATTCCCTTTCACAGATTTAAAGGGTTAGGAGGATATGGAGCTGGATTATACAAATGAAATGGCCAGAATAAAAAATGGATGCATGGTCAGGAATATATGTAGATAGATATTCATACAGATTCATCTCCAGGATATTAATGAAATGTATCATTTGTTCTCATCTACGTTTCCTGGAAACTTTGTTATTTGCTGATTTTTAAATACTATCTATCTTCTATCACAAGAGCTTTGGCTGTTGGGGGGTATAGAAAAGAATTCATTAATTAATATAGATGGCAATAGAGAACAAACAAACAAGAAAGGAAAAGCTATTTATAGCAAAATGCCTAAGTCTAGGTATCTGTTTGATGCTGAGAGCAGAAACCATCAGAACTGAACTATCAGTACTGTGTTAATTTTTGCTACTGCTTGCATTGTACAGTAAATTAGAACATGAATAAAATTTTATTCCATGCTGTACTTTAATGATACTTTATATCTCAAGTTTTGGCTCTGTCAGTAAAACAGGTAAATATGGATAAACCTCAGACTTGGAATTTCATCAAGGGAAATTTTCACATTTCCAAAGATAGGTGAGTGCTTGGTATTATTTTACCATAAATATTAGTTTCATGTTGCACTGATAGCAGCTTTTCCTTCAGCTCTCAGCAATTATTCACAATATGTACCTGCCAGCTTGTATTTTTAGTGATAACCCAATTAAAGAACACATTGCCATTCTCTAATTGTAGCCCTTTCCTTAGAAATGCTGAGTAGTGGATTTGATTTCCATGGGTTGTTCTTTTTCTCCTTCTTCTTTTTTAGGATACTTATGGTTGTCACTGCTAATAAAACAACAGGTGAGACTTAGCACAGGTTGCTATGACTTGCACAGTAATGACCTAAATTCTTTCTAAAATGATACATTAATCCAGTAATACTGTTCTCAACTCCTACCTGCCGTGAGATAGGCATAGCAAGGATGGAAATGGTGTGGGGGAGTGCTAAGCGTTGCACAGTGATCTAGCAAACTAATTGGATTATCAGGGATAAGGCAACCTAATGCTTCTTCCCTTGACTTATCCAAGTATATGCAAGGAGTGTCTTACATAGTTGCATGGATGGATAAACTGATGTGAGAAGAATACTCAGGCTCTGAGAGCCAATTAAGAAGTGTTGGCAAAGGACATAGGAAGCTGCCTTGCTTGTCCTTCTGGCCGAGTATTGTCTGTGCGAAGTGGCACCTTTTCTCTAGGTTTTCCCCAGAAACTGGTACCCAATCCATTCAACTGAAAGTCATTAATCCAGGAACTTTCTGCATGCAAAACTATGGTCCATGCCAAGAATGATTTGGGTTGTGTGTGTGAGGATGACCAGCTGAAACACACAAAAGGTCTGGCACAGAGTTGATTAGAGATGAGATAAATTATTTTTTCAGTTTAAAAGAAAAGGCTGTATATGTCAAGAACACTCCTGACCAACTCATGGTCTTCCTCTGTGCTTAATTGTGGATATGTAAGTAAGGGAGATGACAACATATTGAAAGGAAACAATGACCCAGTCACAAATGGATTCTGTCTTAACTGTCTTAAGCTCCTCTCCCGGTATGGATTCAATTGGAAGTCACAACATAGCTGCTTAGAAGCTTAGTGCATTGTGCCTGTAACTCATGGGGCATGATTAGCTGTGGTCTCAACCTATGTGGATAAGTACAAAACTATTACTTCTCTATGAACTAGATTTCTGAATACCAGTGAGGGTTAGGATGGAAATTAAATAGGCAATTGCAGGCTACAGATGACTGTCGCCCCATGCATTCATATGTGGCATTTTTATTTCATTATTTGTTTGTAAGATATAGTAGCTGTCTGAGAGCCATTAGCTCTCATGGCAACACATAATAAAGAACACAAATAAAATTCAAAATCCATCTAAATCAAATCAACAATCAATCCAAAACAGCAACACAAACATTGATCCACCTATCATGCAGCTTCTGATTCTAAACCCATTCTTATAAACCTTGAGAAATAAATGTATACGTAGCCTTAGCTCATTATGACCACTGGTTTTAGTATGGATTAATTAAATGCACACACTGATATGAATATTTGTTTATGGCACAGTCAGCAATATAATGGAGCACGGAATGCACTGCTGTGCAGCTTCAGAGCAGACGCAGTGGCAGCATCAAGGTACATGACAGGTCCTCCTTGCTCTGGCAAACGAATGGGGTAATAACAAGGATGTCAGGTTTTACTGTTGTTTGTAGCAGATTAGCATAGAGGAATTCAGAGGATGAGGATGGATCCTTTGTTCTTCTTCTCTGAGTTCTTACTTCGCTCCAGCAGTTTAAGTGCTGCCAGTTCTTTGCAAGCTATCTTGCATTTCTAGTTAAAAACAAAAGATTTCATTTCAGCTGGCTGTTAAGATCTTTGGTTAAAGTTCAATGTGCGTTACAAGTTAAATAAGTACTATTAAGTCAGTGGAGTTTACTGCAAGGTAACAATTCATAATAATTGGTACTATGTTCATACATACATACATCTTTTGTATAGTCTGACATGCCGTATCTTACCTAATCTTGGAAGCTAAGCAGGGTCAGGCCTGGCTGAAATCTGGATGGGTGACTTAAATGTAGTGAGCCGCCCAAGAGCTTTGGCTATGGGCAGTATAGAAATGTAATGTAACAACAACAGCAACAACACTATGCATGGACTGCTACTTTTTGATGTGTGCACTTATGCACATGGACATGATGAACTCTACATTTCAAACTGTTGTACTAGAATTGTTTAGATTGGAAACAAAATACTTGAAATTGTTTATACTAGAAACAGGCACAGATAACCTTTGCATTCTGAATATATGCAGTAGAATGTGTGTGCAGGACTCCAGGACTAGGGGGCAAATCTATCCTACCAATTGTCTACCACTCTATACGACTCTGGTGTGCCCACAACTGGAGTATTGTGCTCAGTTTTGGGCCCCCCATTACAGGAAGGATATAGCCAGGTTAGAGTCAGTGCAGCGTAGGGCCACAGGGTTGGTGGCCGGTTTGCAGGGGATGGGGTATGAGGCGAGACTGAGGGAACTGGGTCTCTTCAGCCTGGAGAAGAGAAGACTCAGAGGGGATATGTTGGCAACATACAGGTATGTGAGGGGATGTCACACGGAAATGGGTAGAGACCTGTTCTCCCCTGCAGAGGAAGGCAGGACGCACTCCAATGGAGCAAAGCTCAGGGAGCCAAGGTTCCATTTAGATGCCAGGAAGAACTTCCTGACAGTTAGGACCCCGAGGGTGTGGAATGGGCTTCCACGAGAGGTCGTTGAGGCCCCATCCGTGTGGGTGTTCAAGGTTAGGCTGGACATGCACATGGTGGGCATGTTGTGAGCAGAGCCGGCTGGAGCTGGAGGTCAGACTAGATGGCCCGGGAGACCCCTTCTGACTTGCTCTATTTCTAT